TGTCAATTTCTAAAAGTGAAAGTTCATTCTTTGTCATTCTTTAGAATTAGATTTTACTCCAAAGATTTTAGAGGTAGGTAATGCCATAAATTAGCCACAATAGAGAACCTAAGGCAATAACATTATATTTCTTTAACTACCTTACATTTTTGTACATGCCATGAGCTTTATGCTGAGCTATCTTTTCTTCGTCACAACAATCAAGCGGATGCACGCTGATTTGTAGATCTTATGAATTAATTTCTCATTAGTTATTACAAAATTAGTTATTACGAATTAGTTATTACAAAAATCGTAAAATGATAAAAAAAACTTCTATTTATTGCCTTAGATTATCTACTACGATTGACCAATTCGCTTAATGTCTTACATTTACATCGCAAAATAATAAAAAACTTCTATTCATTTTCCGCTTTCTCTATACGAGCGCGGTGTGTTATATAATACATCTGTTATAAAATACCCTACATAAATAGTGCAATAATGACTTTAAACCTTCGTGGTCACCTGGGGATTCCAAAAAGATGTGAGACTTTATATTTCTAAGGTCTTTTTTTGAAAAACAAGACTTAAACTGCCATTTAGCCGAAGTTTAAAATACCCTTCATCCGTCATATTGTTCCGTCAGCTTTTGTGATTTTTTAAAATATATTATATTAAAATTAAAAACTTTAAAAAGTCACTGCATTTCCATATTCTACAATGTTTAAGGTAATTGTTCAGTAATTTTTGTGATTTTAAAGAACAAAAGCTGTAAATACGGCAATCAATTAAAATGTTGGAATCATTTTACCCTCTATGTGACCAACATAAAATTCTTATAAGATGTGATCACGAAAGTTTAAAGTCATTATTGCATTAAATGAAAAATTTATAAGGCAGAGAGTTTTGGAATGCTAATTGTATTTTTGTACATTGTAATTGAATTTTTGTAAAATGTGTAAATTGTAGTAATAATTTAATCTAAAAAAGAAAACCGATACATTAATTACTTCGACTAACCTTTAGAATATTCTTCAACACGGTAGAAAACATGAGTGCGTAATATCCCCACATTGGAACTCGACCAATTAATAACATCATTTGCATCCAACTCAACAAGATTGCGATACTGATGGAATGTAGCACCCAATGCATGCAATGCCGTGACTTTATTTCTTCCTTTGAACACTTTACAAACTCGCCCGCTATCGATGTCACTAAGGATAACATGGCGCATATAAGTGACAGCCACGTCTCAAGTTGTCTCAAATAGTGCCTAGAACGTTTAGAAAGATGTCAAGTAAAAATCAATAAAAAATTCAAATTTTCATTATTCGGAAGCGTATTTACTTGGGTTCTAATATAATTTGAATCATATTGTGAAACAAAAGAATGCAAGAACAAATCGCTAGGATTCTTCGAGTCACCATGTGATCAGCGTCATTATGTGCAAATATTATGGCGTAGACTGAGAGAGAAACAACGAAGAGGAAGTGTACAAGTATGAGAAGAAAGAAAAGTATCCTTAATCTCGCCCACTTTAGTCTGAGAAATGTCTCCACTAGTGGATGCTGTAATATTGCCAGTTGTCTTATATCCGAAGCTGCAGCTATAATAGCCGTGACCACTGCCATTTGCATCTGATGTTTTGGAGCCAATATACCGAAGTCGACTGTGATCTTTAACAGACATTCCATTCATTAGAATTTGGTAAAAGCAATAGTAGTATAAGAAATGGGATAACTGTATCTGTAAGGAGTACTACTTTAATGTGAGAAATAAAGAGATCCTTACATTCTCATATTTTTCCAAAGGAGAATTATTGGTCGTTCGTACGCAAGAATCCAAGATATCTGTTAAAAAGGTCAATGGTCGCCAAATATGAGCGAATATAGCATCAACAGCGGTGACACCAGTCTTCGTCACCGCGGCTAAATTAGCTCCATGACTGATTAAAGCTTGTACACATTCACGATGGCCCTGATAAGACGCTCTATGAAGAGCTGTACGATTGATCTATATAACGTATATAACAATAATATATACAATTTCGTCTTGTAATTGCATTTGTTATTCTCGAACTACAGTGTCTAACATAAGTTAACCTGATCGCGCGTATCAATATCAATATCATGACATTGCATTGCTTCAAGTAGAACCATTAGTGTCTCAATACTCCCTGTACTCGCGACGATATGAAGAGGCGTGTTTCCGGAGCTCTTGCATTTGTATGTTGGCCATGCATCATTTAACAGTAATATCTTCGTCGCGTCTGCACTGCCTAACATCGCCGCATGATGCAAAGCAGTAGTACCTAGCAAAATTGAGCGTAATTATATTTATTGTTTTACAAATAATATATGTAAATAACATGTAAATAACATTTTTTAGACTTCTTTTAATAGTGATGGATTTGTGATCAGGTATAAAGGTATAAAGTATAGGACCGATGGCTTACTTCGAAGGCTTCGACATTCGAACTTGGATGTTTCTTTTTAAACTCTTTAATATTTCAATCTTTGAAGAATCAAAATTATACAATTATTAATTTAATATATTTAATAGTAACAAGTATATTTTCATTCTTTTCTATTCGCACAAATATATTTTTCGAAGTTTCGAAGTTGTTAAAAATAACAGTCTTAGTAAGGATAAATCGCAACGATGATACATTACGGTTCTACCAATATTGCATAACGCTCTATTGATTGACTAATACCTGTGTCCGGATGAATAATGTTAACTAACACTTTTGCGGCGACCAGGATCCTAACGATCTCGACGAACTTAGTCATCTCATTGAGATCATCGCGATTCACCGCGCTTCCTGCTAAGAGCAACGGGGTAATCAGACGCTCGTCTTTAACGTTTACATCCGCACCGCCTTCCACCAAAACGCGCACGACGTCTGCGTGATTATTTTTTACCGCCTCGTGCAATGGCGTTCTTCCCCAGCATACGGGTAACGGCAACTAAAACATGTCGGAAACATAATTCCTGATGTGTTCCATTCTTTCTTCTAAATTCTTTAGACTGAAAGAGTGAAATCTCACTGTAAAGAGTAAAAATTGAGTCGGTCTTGAAAAAAGTAGCTCGATTTTCAATCTTAAAAAGTAAGATTTCATTCTTCAGAGTGACAATTCACTCTAAAAGTTTTTTAGAAAGTTTACTATAGTGCAAATTTGCGAATTATTTTCGCAGTACGAACTTTCTTTCCCATCTGATAGGATTTTGTCAGCGAAGAATGTGGGATGTCCTTAGTACACAAATAGATACCGACTTTGACATCGATGTAACCTCCGTGTTGAAGAAGCCACTTTGTCACGTCAGTATTACCATTGTGTGCGGCGTAATAAAGGGCACATCTGCCAATTTTATCTATGCTGTTTATGTCAGCGCCTTTCTCGTAAAGTCGATCCAACAGATCTATATTGCCCTGCCACGCAGCTATCTGTAGGGCTGTCACTTGAAGGGTACCCACAGGACGCACATATCTATTTTTGTTATCACTCGTTAAAATTTCATTCGCCTTATCAAATTCCCCATTCTCGATTGCTAATATGAGTCCGATATGATCCGGATCGTATTCTTGCATGGTGATTTTTCCGTTCTTTTGTGTCAACGGCACGAATTGATCGATCCAAGACTCCCTAATGCTTGTGAAAAACTGACGCACAATTAACGAAAGCGTAATTAATGAAAATCTAATCACCTCCAGCCGGATGTGGTAAAGGATATGATTAGTGTTTTTTTTTTTATTTTGATACGATTTTATTTTAATATCATGTTAATTTGCATCAATAGCTTTGGTCGAAATTATTAATGTAAATTAACATGATATTACAATAAAATTCCGTAGTTTGTAAATAACTAATTAACTTATAATTATACGTATTTTCGGATTTTCAACGTTTTCTGCTCTCGCAGCTGTTATTAGCAGATAAAAACTTCGTTTTCTGTTAGAGCGTTCATATAATATGTATATATACACATTATAAAAAGTAAAGACTGCAGTTGAATTTTTGAACGATAGCGAATAACTCTCGACCAGATATTTGTATAATCTCGTTAAAATAAATTCCAAAATTTACAGCGGCATTTCCCACATCGCCCTCTGGCTACGCTCTGGCGTTGCACGGCGTAGCTCCCCGACCCAAATTCCGATAATTAATTAATTTCGCGGGTATCGCGTTGCAGTTTTATGAGTAAATACCTTCGAAGCGAGTGCATTCCGTCGTTCGATACTTCGAACAGCTCCGTTATTCGCGCATAATCAAACTATCGATCTGGATACTCGTAAACCTTTGCGTCGCAAATTTTGATAACGAATTTGTTAAACAATAGCTAACGGGATTACTTCAGCCAAAGAAAGTAAGCGAACGTATTGAACGAAGCCTCGAGCCTCGAGCCTCTCCGTTATTGCTCGAATATCTGTACATGTACAAGGTGTCCTAAATTCTCCACTTCTCTCTTCTGCTTTCTTTTTATTTACCAATTTTATTTTTATTAATTTAAAGTTTCTCTTAGTAGATCTTTAATCTCAAAATTATTTATATTCCGATATTTTCTATTGAAACAAATTTTAATTAAAATGTGGATTTAAATAAAATGCACAAAAAGAGTTTGCAATCTAAAAATTGAGATAGATATAGATCTGAAAATAATTTTGTTGGACCATCAAAATAATTATATTGGACACTCAAGCCCGGTCAAGCTGGAATGTCAAAACTTTTTGCGTTATTATCCATTATATTCGAGAGTCCTATTATTATATTATTATTTTGTTAGTGTAACAAAATTATTTTCAAAGTTGTATTCAACTAAATTTTTAGGTATTTGTTCTTTCCGTGCATATATGCGGACGCGATAAATGTTCGTACGTTATATAACGATGAGCAGGTAACATTTGCACGATGCTTAAACACACGCGGCCGTGGTCAAGTTCTCGTGTATTCGTACAGCCGTTAGTCTTAACACACGTTCACACGCTCAATCAACTGGAGAGTGTTGCGTTACCTTGCCAAGCTCTCAGGGCCAGTACGCGTCTGACCACGCTGTTGAGAGCATCCTTCTGTTAGACAGACAACCTCGTTGGAGTAGAAGCCGGTTCTTCACGACACATAACGAGATGCCGAATTGTCCAAAGTGCGACAAGCCAGTGTATTTCGGTAAGACGACGATTATTATATTGCAATATCAATATAGTTACAAAATATTGAAACCAGTACTATTTGGACCGAGTGTTCGATGCTGTCGATACGAAGAATTGTACTTTGTACAATTGTTAGCACAAGCTAATCGTGAGCAAAGGTTATTTTATATGTTCGTAGCATTGAAAGCTACCGAAATGAAATATCTTGATTTACAGATCAAATTTCACTTTCATAATATATTTTTATATTCGAATTATTCTTTCATGTCGTTTTTATACGTATACAAGAGTGGAAGTAAAAAACGCTGAAAATTGTACAATTTAATTTTTCATAATTTTTGGATATTGCCGTTTTATAAATACGAATAAATTATTCACATTACATCGATTATTTATATAGCACACAGTGAATGGAAAAGAGGTTATTAAATATCTTATGTTGATAAACGTATTATATGATAAACACGATCCACTTCTAAGTACATATCTGCGTCATTTAATAGAAAACGTTTAAAGCAATGTACGCGTGCGAAACATAATTTTATGCTTTGCATCAATTTTACTCAAAATTAGCTATACAATCATATCTTTATATTATCATTTCAGTCTTCCTGAAAGATACAGCAGAAGTTTGATAAATGAAATATAATATTGTGAAACGTCAATGTTTAACTTTTGCATGTTATTTACCTATATTTTACTTTGACTCTTCTCAAATATTTTAATAAATTATGAAAGATTAGTTTATAGTCTGAAATATTCTTATCAACTCTTATTGTGTCTGGATTAAGAGTCGACAAGAAAGGCACAGAATCAAAAGAATATAAATATACTTGAAATGGTAAACGTGCGGTGACGACATCAATGATATCATTGAACGACCTCGGAATCCACTACAGCAAACATTATGTCAGTTTCACTCCATACAGACTCCAGTTTACTACGAGTGTAGTGAATGAATAATCCAGTCAGTTTCTATAGAATAAACTCAATAGTTGTGTAACAGGAGCTGCAGCACCTGCGAGAGGAGGCGCCGCCGTATTTACATGAAATTAAGTCTATGGCGTAACGTTGCACTCTCGTTTCATAATAAGTGACTTGTACGCAATATTCTTTGTCGATGCTTGCCGATTCGACTTTAATCAATTTTACTTTGAAAATTGGTCAACCGTTATCAACGATACTTCTTGAAAACGAGGAGACGACCTCGAAACCTTCTTAAATGCACTTCGGTATTATACCGCGGTTGTTGTAATACTTGTATCGTAAGTTAATGGTTGACAAAATGCTGCGATAACGTTATCTACATATAGTCGACTATGCACTTTAAAATGCGCATCGCGCATAGTAACTCTATTCAATCATAAATAAACAATGTAAACGGACAATTCTGTAGTATTGTGCACTTTTTTACGAAATTCAAGATATTTTTTGGGGTTTCAAAGCTGTTGTAGCTACAAAAAAAATCTAATATATTTATCCCATTCTATTAACAAATAAAAGCGTGATTCTAAGAAGAATATCGCGCACAAATTTTGCGTTTAGACGTTCGATTTTTAATCGAGGTTATGCATCTTGTTTGTTTTTTTTTTTTTTTAAAGCCCATTGACCATTGATGGAAATATAATAGATTGCGTTTCTGATGCGTCACGAACATACGAATGACACCTTTTTTTGCATAAAATGCTCAAAAACATGCAAATTATTGGAACCTTTTGCACAAGCAGTTGTATTAAACTTGCATGTTTATATTTTATTGAATTTTTTCTATCATTACATACAAAAAATAAATTTACGCATAATACTTAAAACATCTCGCATAGAGAACTATTATGCTAATGCAAAGTAAAACAGAGAAAAAGAAAGAAAATAATCGTAACGCGAGAGACGACTGAATGAGGAAGAAAAAACTATGCCGAAGTCACGGAGTTGCTCCGAGTTGCAACAACAATAAACCGTCCAGCCGTGAGGATAACACAAAGGAAACATAGTATATCGCGCGCATGGATACTAATAACACAGACACACGAAACAGGTTTGCTGAGAAGAATGGTCAGGTTTCGTAGTCGCAGTATGAAAAGGTAGTAGGAGGAACCACGAAGAGAAGAGTCGGTTGGTTTCCACCGCAACCCCCGCTAAAAGGGAGAAGAGACCGAGAGATGCGAGATCTGAGATCCGAGCGGTTTTTCTGGGGACCTTGAAGGGGGGAGAGGGGGATGGGGGGGGGGTAAAAGCTGCAGAGGCTCCGGAGGGAAGAGGGTCACGATGATGTGGACGGCGGTTTGAAAGGAAATGAGCGCGGGTGATGCAGGCATGGGTGCGGATTGCGGTGAAGGGGATGGTCTCCGTCGACGAAGAGGGAATAAAAAGAACGAGAAGAGACGTAAGGGCCGGGGAATGATGTTCCGAGGGTCTATGCAATCAGCGACGGAGGCCAATTGTTTGGCGCCTGGGCGCAACGATTCGTACATACGTTACTGTCTCTACCTTTTTGCCCGTTACCGGTGCGATGCGCAACTCGGCGAATGCCGCTGACGATTATGCACTCGCTTCTCCGTCGCCAGATAATTAGGAGTTAATTAACTAATGGCCCTTTATACCTCTTCTTACCCATGATACACTGCGCGCGCGCGCACTCTCTCTCTCTCTCTCTCTTCCTCTCTTTCATTTTTCTTTTTTCACTCTCTCCTTCTTCCATACATTGCTATTCCTCATTCTCCGCTACACCTCGCTTTCATCAACGCATCCTTTCCTCGCCGATGCACTCACCGCGCTCGTCTCGTCATTTTCCAATTTCCCTCGCTGGCGCTACCGCCCTTTGTGCTTCTTCTTAGACACGGTGAAGCGTTTCAATGCAACCATCCAGTCCCGCTGTGGTTCTTGTCTCATTTTTGTCTCTCCTGCAGGTTCGATATGCTGTATACGCGATATGTTGCCGTGACGCAACAGAAGAAAAGAAAAATCGGTTTCGGTTTTCACGAGTCTTTCTGTCAAATTGTTATGTGCGAGCTTATATATAAGAAAAAAGATATTAGAAGTCATTGAAATGTCAATGTTAAGCTAATACAAAAAGCTCCGAAAATCGTATTTTATTCGTGACATTATACATATACATATGCCACAGAGTCAATAACTCTTAGCAAAGAACTCTTAACGAGAACTTGTCTTTATCAACGTGTTTGATCTCATATATGATTAATCTTATCTGAATAACTAGCAATAATACAATTTTAAAATGATAAATCTATCTTATTTCAAGTATTACACAACTATTATCTTTACAAATATTTAGAGTTTATAAGTTTTTGAATTAATTTAAAAGTAAAGCATATAATATATATATATGTGTGTGTGTGTGTGTGTGTATGTATAAAATTTGAAAATTTTAATATTTGAAGAAATTCTTCAAAATTCCTTTAAAAAAGTTAAATCAACGCTCTCGTTGTTTTCTTATTGATATCATTCCATCTTTTTTCCGACAACTCTATTGTGTCCCTTTCGTACGTACGCATACACACTAATGCTTGCAGATGCATTTGGGAATTAAGTGAGGTACATGTATAATGTGACTCGCATATGAAGGTTTTTTTAAAATCATGTCGACGACATGAAATCCTTTGTGAAACAAGTTCGGAGTATGTTTCGCATTTGCGCCTTTAATGAATAACAGACGACGATCGATTCCATCGGGACTTCAATATTGGAGTTTCTAATTATGAAATTGCTAATGGAAGGATTCTATCATCTACTTATCATTCTCATCATCCGCGACACAGACGAGGCGATGCGGCAATGTGCTCAAGCCGCATGGAGTTGATTCTTTCATTTTAACTTTTATTTTATTTTAAGTTTGTATTAAATAAGAATATTTTTTCATTATATTGTCCGCCTTTCAGATTTTTAAATATTTCATTCTATTTCAGATATCATTCCATTAATATTATATTAATATAAAATATTTTTTCATCATTCTTTTTGAATAATACGCATGTCTATTAATTTCTATTTCTTGCAGCGATCATCTTTGAGGCAAAGGGAGGAAACGATATTCTAATACAAATACCACATTACCGTAGAAACATAAAATTTAATATGGAAAGCGTGACTAGTTTCGTTGCGGTGTACCGCCTTTTATGTTACACCGGGACGCGCGCGTTAACATTCATCTTGTGTTGCAGCCGAGAGGAAGACATCCTTAGGCAAAGATTGGCACGGTTCGTGTTTACGCTGCGAGAAATGCAATAAGACCTTAACACCCGGGGGTCATGCCGAGCACGAAGGGAAACCCTACTGCAATCACCCTTGCTATTCAGCCCTGTTCGGTCCAGGAGGTAAATGGAAATTTTCGTCTCGGTTCGAGCGATACGCTTCGTTTCCTCTAAAACTGTTTCATATTCAAAACCCTTCGTAGAACATCGCCGTCCTGCATTTAATATATTAAATTAATGTACATCTTCCTTATTCCATCCATTTATGTGCGTATCTCATTGCTCTTTATACTATTTCCAAATTAAGTAATATTTACTGCACTTCTAATATTAAAGATTTGCGTAATGAAAATGATCGCTGTGATTGCAGGTTTCGGACGGGGCGGTGCTGAAAGTTACGTTTATAATAAATGAAGCATAAACATAAAAGCAATAAAATGTGTGTCTTCTTCATTATATCTAACGATAAGACAATTGTACAATTCCGAATATAAAGAGCAGTTGGACATTGAAACATAAAATAACATTCATTCTGCTTGTTTATGTATACGTAAATATCTATTTTTTACAAGATGTTTCAGGAATGTATATGTTATTGAATATAATAATATTATATAAAAAGAAAAATAATTACATTCTATCTGTATTGATCTTACCCACGCCTAATTAATCTAATAATTAATCTTTATAGAACGGAGACAGCACTAATTATAAATATACACTCTATTGTATTTTAGTTAACGCCGATAAGGGAGAAATGCACGTTCACGACTAGAGATCTATTGCCATCAGTACAGTGCTAATAAACAAAGAATTTTTATATAAAAATATAGCTGATATAATGCAATATTTTTTTCTCTATAGTGTCTTCCATAATTTATTAAAGCTATGTTTTTCCCTTTAATTATATTAATTATTGATTTTTTTCTCTATAGTGTCTACATAAGAGTGTATATTGTTTGGAACAGATGTCGCTAAACGCACGTTTTCATGAATTATCAATAAACTTTTATGCTGTAACTTTGTTTTCAAAACATCTATCTTGATATGAATAAAAAGTATTTTTATATTGTACTATATTAAAAAAAAAAGATAGCTTTAATGTTTTCGCTTTTAATAGTTTTATTCATTTTTATTTATTTCAGCAAGTTTATTTGTATTTTCATGTTTATTATATTTACAACTCCATATAACAAAATCGATAGTAGTGATATTTATAATTGTATCTTTAGTTTTTACGTTTTATAATACATATGCAATATAGTAGCGGGACGGAAATAATTTTCTTTAGAGTTTTCAGTATCTAGATGATTTGTGAAAAGAAGAAATATTAAGTTTTTAAAGATATTTTTTCCTTGTATTATTTTCGAAAATATTTTTGCAGATTGTTTATATTTGATTTCTTCAATAATTAATCGAACGTTACATTCGATTAATTTAAAAATATTATTTATAGTACATGGAAAATTTAATTATAGGATATTAGATGTTGAAAAATAAATTTCATATATAAACCTCATATTTATTTAAAAAGGATGTACAGAGTTTTGTTTGCAAGTATCAACAGCGAGACTCGGCAAGAGCGGCGCACGGAACAAGAATATCACACGGAACAAATAAAATAAAATGAGATAATCGTGTGTGCTCGATTAAAAATGCGCGGCTGCGGCGTTCGAGTCGAAATTTCCGATTAACAAATACATAATTCGCAACAAATGAATTCGCAATTCCGCTCATCACTCGAATGCCGCACACAGTCGTTTTTCTCTTCGTATCTTTTATATTCAATTCCGTATTACAATTGTTTTTGTGCTCTTCATCAGCTTTTCCTCCTATGGAGACTATAAAACGTTTATGCAATATTGCTCTCTCAACGGATTCTTTGGCAAAACTTATTACACATAGGTCATCATTACAATTAATAAATAATAAACGTTAAATAATATAATGATGATAATGATAATAATAAAATATAATAATAATGATAAAATAATGAAAATAGTGAAAATAGCAAATAGAATAATAATTAATAATCAGCTTCATTATGATAATAGCGATAAAGTAACAATAAGTAGGCAAAAAAATCGTATCGAACATCGGACACAATGATTCAGCCGATGTTTGGTCAATTGAAATTCAAATATATCTCGTGCATGCACGCGCTGAATTATTCCTTGAACTTTTTCTTGACACAAATGCTTTCATTTAGCAATGCCGAGCCGATAAAATTGTTAATGGGATTACAGTAAATAAAAATCTCGCGTTTCAACATTTTTTAGCGTCTGCGTTTTTCCTTTCTGCAGGACTTTATTGTGCTGTCGTGGCACATTATAATTGCAAGCAATAGATATCCATAATTATGATTTGATTAGCAATTTAAAAATGTCAGTTGCAATCTCGTTAATTTTATGATAAATCGAATTCAAGTGCAAAAGAGCGTAACACAGACAACAGAGATAAAATGATTTTCGCGATAAAAATAATAAAGTTTAATTATTTGATAAAAGGCTATCGACACGGACGGAACATCGCGCGAGAGGTTCAGAAATTTTACCAATTGACTGGGATCAATAACAATTTCGATTTTGCGAGCACGCTTTGGATCGACACTAATGAATTGAAAGAATATTTTATGACATTATTATATTCGTCATTTAATTTACTGTTTTATTTATTTCAATATGCAACATTTGGTTTACTAACGCATCTCTTTCGAATGTGACTAGAAATTGTCGGATTAAGTAGAATTGTCAAATAATTTTCAATCTACAAAATTATCCGGCAAGTTGAGTAAATTCGAGACGCATGAAATCTGTAGCGCGTGCCGTCGAGGCATCAATGATTAACACGGTAATTAAATCAAAGAACGCGCGTGCGCTTGCAAACGTAATTTCTTATTAAAAATCTCTGACGCCCAACGCTAATTGCGCCTTCGTGATAATCTTCTCCCGCGCGTTCCATCCGACGACGAACGGGAACTAGTACGACTTCCGCTGTATAAAGCGGAAGCGTGGCGAATGCGCCGAACGGAACGGGAGAACGAGCGTGATCGTCGGGCTGTCGAGGAAGTGTCCACGCGCCGACTTGCGCTAATTATCACGAATAAGCAAGAAAGTCCTCCGTACAATAGTGATCGGTATCTCGACATATAATTCGCGGTTAGCACGTACTTACCACTTTAGCAAAATCAAAAATCATTTTTTTAATATGATTTTTAAGTATCAATTCTTTGAATCTTTTTGAATAATAAGTTATCTTTGAAATAATTATAATCCCTTTTTTTTTCAATTTTTATGTCGATCCTACACGCCGCTCGCGACTACGCATTACTTATCCGTGTGAAGAGGCCGCTCAAAACCGGCGCAAAGGTCACGCGCTTTTTTGCCGCAACTGCGCGACGTGCTCGTTCGTTCGACGATCCGTATGATGTATATGTCTTATGTCGGTGCGTGCTGCGTGCGTGCGTATGTACGCATGTGTACGTGCATGTGTTGAGTTTACTCGCGCGTGTGTGTATATGGTCTTTGGTTTCTACAAAAAATATATATAATATCCTTAACAGTAGTGATCATTACAGTCGACTCCTGATTTAAAAATCTCAAACTTATCGTGTTATTCTCTACGATATTCTTAAAGGGGTGAGGGGTCGTCGTGCCTACAGGAGAGAAAAACGTGCCGTTGGGGCGCTTGACTTTGTTTACACGAATCATATGTATAATATATATATATATTTTTTTATTCTTATTTATATATGTTCAATTTATATATATTTACATGGTCGGCGACTATGTGTGCCACGCGAACGCGCGCTCGCGAGGGCGGTCACGACCACCGCGTGGAAATTACACTAACTGAGGATCATTAAATTAAACTACCTACCATCGCGGCTCTCCAGAGAGCGACGACGCCGTCTTCAACGCTATCGAGCATTCGAGATTCACTCGCATCGCCACCATTAACAATTGATAAATCAATTGGTCGATGATTCTTCGGATTACGATTAATAAATAAAACATAGAAGGGAACGTTTATACTGCGAAGAACAGTGGCAATACGAGGGAACTCTGTACGCCAATACTCTGACGTGACCGTCACTCGCGTCAAGCTGATTTTGCGCGGAATCACGTCGCGCGCTCGATTAGAACAAATTCCCAAGTCCTGTTATTCATCTTGAACGCCATGGAATTAAAAACTCCGAGCGCAGCTAATTCTAGATTCATTTTAACGTTCCTCGTCGCGAGTCATCCTAATCTTCTTCTTCTTCTTCTTCTTCTTCTTCTTCTTCTTCTTCTTCGGACATTCAATCTTCCCTGTAGATACATCGATATCTTTCGCACTCTGAATTTTCCATCGCGCATTCCCAAAGCAGTTAAAAGGAGATCATTGCTTAATGTCGAGATGGTGTCTCTTCGTAATATAGCGTCTGTTGTCGCAGCTCACTGTCTCTCCGCTGACCATTGGGGAACGTCGGTCGAGAGTCCCGTCGTGTGGTTCAATCATCAAGCCAGGTAGAGGTCCGTCGGTGTAGCGGAGGTGTGGTCCGGCTTCGTGCAGGCGCTTCCGGTCGGTGAGGCCGCGCTGGCCCCGCTGCTAGCTCTGGTAGCCGCCAGAGGCGAACGACTAGCCACGTCGGCGCTGCTTTCCGGACCACCGCTGGTACAACCGCCGCCGCCCTGTTGCGATGTATGAGTGGACGTGTCTCCGTTGCAATAGTAGTACGTGGAGTCTAGAACGAGAAGCGATTACGTTCATCACGCATTGAATTTGTGGGTTTCCCTATACCTGCGTATACAATACCCTATTTTACATTTTGCAACTGATGTATTCGTATCCACGAATGAAATATATCTCCTTACGTCGCACACTCCTGTACGTTTTACGCGCAATTTGTAACGTTGCATATTCAGCCGCGTTTTCGCCACAACAACTTTTCCCATTTCTGTTTATATACATGCGCATCATATCGCGTAGAATTAAGATGGAATAAATTTCCGCGATGCGCCTATCTAATTTTCGCGTTTAATTATAGCGTTCACGTAACGCTCGCGTGGAATATTAAGAACGAGGAGGCATAAGTTGAGCGAGCGCGGGGAAGCGAGTGAGAGAGCGCGTTGCGATATCGCAAACGGATCTATATTACGTGTTACGAGGTACGGGTTAGCAGCGTATCGCGTGTCCGATAAGAAAAAAAAAAGAGGTTTATTATTCTATTCGTATCTGCACGCGCGATGCGCGCTCTCTTCTATGCTTGCACCACAAGGTATCGCGATCTCCTCCTAATGCCGCCAATCTTGTACGTTATGAAGGATAGGCGTTTGAATCGGGGTTACATTAGAACCGGACGGAGAACGCGACGTGGCTTCGATGGGGAACTAGTTCGATGTTATCTGATATGAATCGAATTGCAGCTCGCGTTAACGAGGA